AATGAATGCTCGACCTAAAAGGATGACAATTTTGATAAATTATCACAAAAAGGCAATAATATTTACTGCACTTTTTTTTTTGACGAATTTGCAGATTTGCATTTTATCTTCATCTCTGAAGAAATATATTCGTTTGTCAACATCAGNGCTTTGTAGACCACATGTATGTAATGTGTGTTGATATTTTAACAAATACAATTTTATATTGAAACTAATCTTTCATTGTCATTATCAGACGGAAGACAAAAGGCAGCTAAGCCATTAGCTTAAATTATGCATCGGAAACACTAAACAAGATAATTTTGAATATTTTCCGAATGTTTGTGGATTTGTTTATGCATAAAAGTAAGAGTTATGTCCCTTGTGTCGTAGCCAGAAGTCCCATAAGGATGAAGGGTCACGGGTCATCTGGGGGTCATCTGATTGGTCAGCTAATTTCAAGGGGAAGCTGAGCCCTCTCTATCAGTCATGCAGCCATCTTAGATTTAAGCTGTGTTACCTATCCACTACACATCCCCTGTGTAAAGTTACAACTTTTTTTCTGCAAAATACCCACCCTCTCCTCTTCTGGACAAGACTACCGACTTTAGGTGTTATTCATGATTTGGCGGTTTTTTGTTAACCCCACATTGTTTTTTTTATGATATGTATTCAGGAGTTAAAAATTTCATGTACAATATATGTATGTAATTTTTATGCTATATGGCAGTTTTATGTTAACCCCACATAGGCTTTTTATGATATGTACTCAAGAGTTAAAAGTTTCATGTATATTATATTATATGTACATGTATGTATTTTTATGCTGTATTTCTAATTCGGAAAATTTCCTCAAATTTCACAAATAAATACTTAGTCGCCCTCTTTGAAGGTGGCCTTTTTCATTCACAGTCTGTGTTGTGTCATTTCTTGTTATAGAATTATAACATAACATAAATTATGATCAAGTTTAATAGCAAACACGCATCTGAAAAACATGTTAAAAAACTAGATGTCTGTTGTTTGTAGAACTTTTTTTACAAAAAAATAAAAAAAAATATCAATTTGGCGGCCATTTTGAAAATTTGTATTAATGTGTATTTCTTGGGCTTGAAAAAAGGCAAAAATTTCACCTTTTTTGACACTAGATTGATCACTTAAGTTGTCATTGTGTCGCCATTTTTAATTATAGCAGGTTCAATTTTGCTGTACAACTTTATAATGTTTAATATGATAAAAATAATATGCAACAAACTGGAAAATTATGCATTATTGATATATTTTTTACATATTTAGTGTAACTGAAGCACTTTTGATTTTTGACCCCGAAAAAGGTAAAAAATAACACAAATGATAATGGGACAAAAAAAGAAGCACACCGACCCCCCATTGTTGTGGATGTTTTAGAAAGAGAAACACATTTTCTTTTAATTCATTAAATATTAAAAAAAGTTTAATACCAGAACTTTTTTTATCAAGCGCTTAATCTGCAAAAAATGGTAAAAAAAATGAGTATATTTTCATTAAAAAATAGGGGGTAGGGGTAGCTAAAATCGTCTTTCTGAGTTAAAAGAATAAGATTAAGAAATTTCATTTCCATAATTTAAAAGAAAATAATATTTTCATCAATTCTACAAACATTCATACATATCTGATAACACACTTGGAAGAAATTGTATGAAATTGTTCTGGAAATGGTCAAAACCCAAAAATTCACCTAAAATCACATGTTGTGTTAAATTGGTATCTTTGACCGACCATAGCACAAAAACGAACACACCGACATATAGTTTTCTTTTGCATTTTCTACTATGCCATTTACTCCTTTTTCCAAAAATCCATATAAGAAAAAAAGTTTAATACAGGAAATTTTTGACTTCTCAGAGGTGTACATCCTTAATTTACATCCAGGACGAATGGAATTTTGTTTGTAAATTGAATTAATTATTAACATTTCGGATAGCTATCACTTAAATCATTTTCTGATTTTTAGATAAACTCTATATTGGTCTAATCAATCCACATATACAATCCACCTTTGTTCCCAGTATATATACCAACCACCCTTGCTGCCAGTACATATACCAACCACCTTTGTTCCCAGTACATATACCAACCACCTTTGTTCCCTGTACATATACCAACCCCCTTTGTTCCCAGTATATATACCAACCATCTTTATCACAGTACATATACCAACAATCTTTGTTCCCAGTATATATCCCAACCACCCTTGCTGCCAGCACATATACCAACCACCTTGGTTGCCAGTACATATACAAACCACCTTTGTTCCCTGTACATATACCAACCGTCTTTGTTCCCAGTACATATACCAACCATATTTGTTCCAGTACATAAACCAACCACCTTTGTTCCAAGTACATAAACCAACCACCTTTGTTCCCAGTACATATACCAACCACACTTGCTACCAGTACATATACCAACCATCTTTGTTCCCAGTATATAAACCAACCACCTTGGTTACCAGTACATATACCAAATACCTTTGTTCCCAGTATATATACCAACCACCTTTGTTCCCAGTACATAAACCAACCACCTTGGTTACCAGTACATGTTCCAACAACCTTTGTTCCCAGTATATATACCAACCTCCTTTGTTCCCAGTACATATACCAGTCACACTTGCTACCAGTACATATACAAACCATCTTTGTTCCCAGTATATAAACCAACCCCCTTGGTTACCAGTACATATACCAAATCCCTTTGTTCCCAGTATATATACCAACCATCTTTGTTCCCAGTACATAAACCAACCACCTTGGTTACAAGTACATAAACCAACCACCTTGGTTACCAGTACATATATCAACAACCTTTGTTCCCAGTATATATACCAACCACCTTTGTTCCCGGTACATATACCAACCATCTTTGTTCCAGTACATAAACCAACCATCTTTGTTCCCAGTACATAAACCAACCACCTTGGTTACCAGTACATATACCAACCACACTTGCTACCAGTACATAAACCAACCACCTTTGTTACCAGTACATATACCAAGCCAGTCGGCTTGATAATACAACAACATGATTAGTGATGTCTGCAAAAACAAGGATTCACTGAAGGACAATAAGACAAGTGACAGCTCGATCCACGAGACTTGATAGTGAGACAATATGTTTATTGAAATTATTGATGATGGCAGAGGCTGTAGGAGGTGATTAGTGATCAAATCCTTGTGGGATACAGGTATCTCTATAGGGATTTAATTACCGTACTCGCTGTTAAATACAGGTGTTTGTATAGGTATTAAGCTACCAAACTCTCTGTCGGATACAGGTATCTCTATAGGGATTAAATTACCGTACTCACTGTTAGATACAGATGTTTGTATAGGTATTAAGCTACCAAACTCTCTGTGGGATACAGGTATCTCTATAGGGATTTAATTACCGTACTCGCTGTTAAATACAGGTGTTTGTATAGGTATTTAGCTACCAAACTCTCTGTCGGATACAGGTATCTCTATAGGGATTAAAGTACCGTACTCACTGTTAGATACAGATGTTTGTATAGGTATTGAGCTACCAAACTCTCTGTGGGATACAGGTATCTCTATAGGGATTTAATTACCGTACTCACTGTTAGATACATGTGTCTGTATAGATATAAAGCTACCAACCTCTATGTGGGATACAGGTATCTCTATAGGGATTTATTTACCGTACTCACTGTTAGATACAGGTGTCTGTATAGGTATTAAGCTACCAAACTCTTTGTGGGATACAGGTATCTCTATAGGGATTTAATTACCGTACTCACTGTTAGATACAGGTGTATGTATAGGTATAAAGCTACCAAATTATCTGTGGGATACAGGTATCTCTATAGGGATTTAATTACCGTACTCACTGTTAGATACAGGTGTCTGTATAGGTATAAAGCTACCAAACTCTCTGTGGGATACAGGTATCTGTTTATGGATCTAGTTACCAACCTCCTGTAGGATACAGGTATCTGTATACGGGTTAAGTTACCAAATTATCTGTGGGATACAGGTATCTCTATAGGGATTTAATTACCGTACTCACTGTTAGATACAGGTGTCTGTATAGGTATAAAGCTACCAAATTATCTGTGGGATACAGGTATCTGTTTATGGATCTAGTTACCAACCTCCTGTAGGATACAGGTATCTGTATACGGGTTAAGTTACCAAACTATCTGTGGGATATAGGTATCCGTATAGGGATTAAGTTACCAAACTATCTGTGGGATACAGGTATCTGTTTCTGGACCTAGTTACCAACTATCTGTGGGATACAGGTATCCGTATAGGGATTAAGTTACCAAACTATCTGTGGGATACAGGTATCAGTGTAG